TAATATACTTATTATACATTTTAGGTATGCTATCAAAATGATAAGTTAAATATCCCAACTGTAACGATTATTTAATATTGTCGTCAAATGATTTTGCAGTACCGACCAACATTATATCTATATCATCTCTCTTTTTATATTATACCTTACCTGATAATATAATATTGGTAATTGGTAGAGATTATATTATATTATATTAACCACATACATTATTTTCATAAAGTAGCAATGAAAATTCCAAGAACACGTATTGGTGATTTTTTTAATGTCAAATTTATTTTTAAATCCTTTCCTTATGTTACTTGATTCTTTCATTTTTTTGAAATCAACATTCCAAATGAATAAATGTACAACATACATACACATTTCTGTGATCAATGTACAATACACAATATAAAATATTATATATATTATTACACAATTTACTGCAACACCTATTACATTGTCGAGACTTGGGGATGGACACGAATAGTTTTTAATTATTTTAATTATTTATATACTATAAAATGTATATTCTTCCAATTAAAATAACAGTAATAATCTTCAGCAGTGTATAGGCATATAAATATTTAATAGTATACGGTGTACAAAAACGCGATAAATTAGGTAATATGCTCAAAACTGGAATTTCTGCCATTGAACCAATCTAATGTAGGTATTTCAATCGAATCCGTAATAATATGAACGTAGGTAGTTTCAATCGACATTTTTTTTATTATAGAATATTATATAACGATATATAAGGTCAATATTTTTTACAGTATATATTTTTTCAAACAGCATTGCGATAATAATGACATTTCATGTTTTCTAAAATAAATAATAAATGACGTGCACTATCTCATCAGTTATCATTACGACTCATATATCTACATTCATCTATAATATAAAATATGTCGGTACCTACTATATATAGGTACTAAAAATAAATAATAATAGTATAATATTATTATCAATATAATAATATAAATATGTGAAAACGATTAAAACATTTGTAATTTTTTTCATAGGTATTAAATAGGTTAGATTACCTACGGTAAAATACATAATAACTATATAAGAGAGATCTTCACGAGTCACAACCAATGTATTGTATAACATAGAAACATTATGAATTACGATGTAATGATGTATATTAGATAGACTGATATAATATACTTATATTATACCTATATACCCATTTGTGTGCATTTCATAAATATTAAATACTGATAGTGTTTTAAACTTTCTTGTCACAGTGAACACCTGCAATACTACACCGAAATGTCAAATCCACTCTGAATATTTACTTACAATAAAACCGGACTAAGACCACGATAATTCCCAGAGTTGATACTTGTTATCTAACGATCCAATAAGTACCTTATGTGTACCTATCGTCTACCGACTACTTCCGCCCTAGTGGAATTATCTTTTTTTTCGGGCAAAATAAGTTTACACAGTTATGGTATTATATAGGTATTATACGAGCACTTATATAATACTTATACAAATACATATTTTATTAAATTCGCATAATATAAACGTCGGGTTATAAAATATACTATTGATGTGCATGCAAACACACGATGAGTTCTATGTACACAATACCTACATAAAACATTCAAAATATATTTTATTAGACAAGATAAAAAACAAAAAGTTGAAAATATTATTATTGCACCGGTATAAGACCTATATAGTTTAAAAAAGTGCTTTAATACAGGCTACTTCTAAATGTCGAATGATTATTTATAATATTTCCACGTATCTACCTATAGGCTATAATGTATAATTGATTATCTATACTAAGTACAAAATTATATTTTATCGAAAAATTTTTTTTTGATTTCTTCATTCAAAAATATAATACATAATATTATGTAAGAAATAAAACATTAGTTTTATAATAAATTAATAATTAACTGATTTGATAACATATTAATTATAAATGTAATTAATATATAGCTATTTATATGTTCTACATATTTAATATTATTACTGTAGGTATATCCATAACCTAAGCCACAATCTAGTAAATGCATATCTATCTTAGGTATTTTCAGAAATTCAAAAAATACTTAGGTACTGCATAGACTCGGCACAATACAAAACCAAATTATTATTATTTTGCATTTGTAAACTTTGTTATAAACATTTCATTCATTACACAATTATGAGCTCAGTTTAAATAAAAAATGGTCAAGATTTTGTTAGAACTGCTGTGCTAACATATTTCACTGGTTTAGCTTTTTTAGAATGGTTTTTTTTTTTTATTATGACTGCGAAAACTATAAAATAACTTGTCTAAAGTACCACTCGTATTTAATTTTCAGTCGATTAATTACAGGGCAATAAAAAAAATTTGGAACGACTTTCTGGCACGAGAAAAAAACCAACTATGTTCGTAGGTACTCACTTGAGAATCTATAATAGGTAGACGCATCACATTTTTATAAAATAATATAATTAAAAGCTATTGTACTTGTAAAAATTCAAAACAAAAAAATTAATCTGTTGGCAATAATTCTATTATAATATCTATTATTGTTTAAATGTTTTTAGTGTATTTGAAGTTTCAACTATTAACAACTTGGGCATAACTTAGGCACCTACGCTTATATTATAATAAATTGCTTTTTCAATTTCAGTTTCAATAATTTGACCTGTATTTTCTTATACATTTAAACATTTAAGATTATTATTGACGAAGTAGCAATATTACTTCATATTTGATAACAATTTTTATGATAAATATTTCTTACGTTCATTAAATAATAATAATAATAATAGGTAGTAATTAACTTGAATAAAAAGCTTAGAAGTTGGCATAGTTCCCTCTTCAAAACTATATTTCTAGACTTTTCTTGAGTTGGCGTAAACATTTTACAATTATCATATTAATATAAATACATAGTACGTACATGACTAAGCTAAGAACAGTACAGTATATACCATATATTACAGAGTGCATTGTAAATTTAATCAAATATTATGAATGAATATAACAGGGCCACCAGGAGATTAAAAATAATTATTATTTTACAAAAATACCTATAAAATAGTTTATTTTAGTTTAAACATAAAGCTATTATTTTATCAAGCAACTCTACTTAAATACAAACAAACGATATTCTTAATATATTGAGTGGATGATAATGTTTTATTCATGTTGCTATAATAAAATCAACGCATAGTTAATTTTCAATTCTAAAACGGCTGCTATAAAATATAATTTTAAATACGAATTCGGGTTTTAATTTAATTTGGTTGAGTAGTATTTTTAATTTTATAAAAAAAAAATAAATTCTAAACTTTAAAATTATTTTATTTTTTAGGTCTGTTTTAAATTAGCGCAGTTGAGTTATAAAATATTTTAAATTGTAGGGCTAAATGTCTAGGCTCATACTTTATTTCGGTTTGAATAATATGGCAAGAAAACTGTAAATGATGAATCCACAAGAAATGTACATTAAATTTGGCTGCTGTCCACAAATTTCACAAAATTACAACGTTATCTAGCCTTAAGTCCAACAGGCGTGTAGGTACCTTCATTTTAATTATATTATATAACTTGAAGAATTAGTATTATATACCTACTTAGTTACTTAGATACCTTAAAAATGATTTAGTTATTATTTTATTAAATACCTACCTATAAAAATAATAAAATTATTATTACCGATGTTAGGAATTACAGAATATAACAAAATACGATTATATTAACACTAAAATAATTGCAAAGACTTAAAAAAAATCTTTAGTGTTATTTTGGTAACTCAAAATAAAATAAAATTTGTGTTAGGTATGAGAGTATGAACGTCTTATTTTTCAGACACTAAAAATAAATTAAAATAATAACGTTTTTATTTATTAATTTTATATTTGAATGTGTTAAAGCGCATACCTATATCTTAGTTATAAAAAATTATATATTTTATTTTTACGTTTTATGAAAAATTGAATATCTGATTAATATAATGATAAAATATAAATACAGAATGATTTTTTTTAACCATGATCACTCCATTTGTTTTATTAAAGTAAACATTTTTATTAAAATAATAATTAAATTTGATAACAATACAAACTTTTGTTTTTCGAATGGAACATTGTTGTTTTACTGCGATTTACTAAGAATATGATTTTTTTTACGAATCTATTGGTTTAACAACTGTATTGAAATCGAAATTGAAATGAACAGATTGAATTTTTGCAAGACCACGAATAAAAATCATTCTGTTTAAGATATTTCACATTTAATTTTTCTATATAGGTACGACATATTACATATATATATATATATATATATATATATTTATAAAAATCCGAACCCTATAGCGACCGCATAACATAATACGATATTATGTGATTGGTTAGACTTAGTCTATTGTTTGAAAAATACTATTTGACACAGATGCTGCTGCTGCATAGTTTTCGAAAGGAATGCTCTCGGCGGCCGTGGTGGCTTCGAAGCGGCATCATAAAAAAAATAATAATAATAACGAAAAAAAAAAACGGCAAAGATCGACTGAGAATCAAGACTATCACAAAATAATAATAATATAAAGTAGATATTGCTTCACGCACGTCTCGGGGGATGGCGACGATATGAATGCCGCCGCCTCGCACATCTCTAATACGACACGACGTCTTCTTTGCGGACGGGAAAAAAAACTGGTCCCCAAAAAAGCCGTCGCACGAGTTTCGCAATGACGACGTATACATTAAACATTTTTATGTAGTTATAGGTAATCCTGTACACTTGTAATAAACACGCGACACCGACCGATTTTCGATGCGGAGAAAGTGTCACCGGACGGCGGTAGGGACAAAAACGAAAATTGCGTTCGGACGATTTACCATTATTTATCAATTTTCGGGGAACGATCGACTGGTATATAAACCAGGGCCGGCCGACCATTTGGCATCAGTTCACTCCAACGATCCATCGCAGTCTCCGATACAAAATACAAATTGTACAGTTATATCGTCTCGTCTGCAACTGCACCACCACCACCATGGCTCAATTTAAGGTAAGACTCACATATTCCTATCATAATAATGTACACTGCAGTACGGGCTGTACGGGCCCAGAAGAGTGGTCGATCGCTTCGCCAGATCACGAGTCGTAGCTAAGAGCATTTTTCACAGGGAAAACTCTTAAGCCTCGTGAAATAGCCAGATTTTGATAACTTTTTATTTAATTTTAAACATCTTGACTTTATCCGTAAACTCCGATTTTAAAAACTCTATTTTCAAAAGTTGTAATAAACGTCTAAATTGAGCACAAATTTTTGAGTATTTTTCTAACATTATTTGAAGTTAATTTGAAAATCGGAGTTCTCTGCAACCTGAATAAAGCTTTCCTCTTTAAATTAAAAAATAAATTATCAAAATCTGAATATTCTACGAGGCATGGTAGTATTCCCTGCCGTTTATTATTCGTATTATTGTGCGAAAATTTATTCGTGATTAATATTATTTGCTGCAAAACTTCAAACTCAAAAATCCTGATTAACCTTGTTTATTAAAATGTTTTCATTTTCTATACATTTTGTTTAGACAACGTAGCAAAATATACCTAGGTAGCTCTGATACAACATAATCAAACACAGCCGTGTGATTATCATACATATATATTTCATACACATCAACACATCCCTTCTATATAGATGTCTCAGTACTTTAGTTAATCGACGAACGATTTTCCTTTTTTCAGGCATGCATCGTCGGTCTGGCATTGATCGGTCTCTGCGTGGCTGATACAGTCAAGACCACTAACACCAAGACCGCTAACAAACGTAGCGCCGATTTGGCGTACGGTCTCCCGTCTGCGTACTCCGGCTTATCTTCCAGCTACGGATCTGGCTACGGTTCCGGTTACGGTTTGTCTTCCGGATACGGTTCTGGTTATGGTCTGTCTTCCGGATATGGTTCTGGTTACGGTTTGTCTTCCGGCTACGGTTCGGGTTACGCATCCCATGCAGTACCAGTCAAAGTGAGCCAGTCCGACCAGGTGGTCCCCGTGTCCGTGCCACAACCGTACGCCGTGCCAGTCACCCGTCACGTGCCAGTGTCCGTCCCACACCCCGTGCCAGTGTCCGTGCCAAGAGCCGTCCCAGTCAGCGTGCCACACCCAGTCCCGGTCACCGTCGACCGTCCATACCCCGTTGATGTACCACGCAGCGTGCCAGTCAGTGTACCACACCCCGTCCCATACACAGTCAGCCGCCCAGTGCCATACTCTGTCCCACAACCGTACCCAGTCGAAATCCAACAACACGTGCCAGTCTCCATCCCAACTCCCGTCATCGCACCATCTTACTCCGGATACTCTGGAGCTTCATCATACGGATCTCTGGGATACTCTGGCGCTTCATCATACGGATCTCTAGGAGGATACTCTGGCGCTTCATCATACGGATCTCTGGGATACTCCGCTCCGTCATACGGATCTTCATACGGATACTCCGCACCGTCATACGGATCTTCATACGGATACTCCGCTCCGTCCTACGGATCTTCCTTCGGATCTTCGTACGGATCTCACGGACTCTCGTCCCTGTCTTCTTACGGTGGATCTTCGCTGTCCGGTTTGTCTTACGGACACGGTCACTCCGACGAATACAAGAAATAAAAATCGTGACATCGCGTCCGACAATGCTCTATTACAATATGCAACCACGCCGAATCCGAAACCCACACAAAATCTCACTCGTCGCACCCACCAGCAACCTTCACCGTCTAACGCAGTACAATTATAACACTGTCTGCATTAAATCATATTATTATAATTTTATGCTGACGTATATATGAATGTATATATTGTATATTATATGAACTGACTGGATAACGTTTTATATTTTCACATACCTACTCTCGTATATAATACTCTGTACGTATATGTATAATATATTATATGGTTCAGCACGGTCGGTCGTATATAATATATAATATTATATTATATTATACTGGTTTTAATATATTGTATCATCATCATCATTATTATTATTTTTATTACTATTATTATTATTATTATTATTTTTGTTATCATACGTTGTATTAAGTGTTACGCGGATGTAGATGCATAATAATATGTGCAGTATACTAAAGCAAACATTTCATTTTATCTTAATAAAACTCAAAAACAAAATTTAATACAATAATATAGCTGTTTGTGATTATTAACGAATAGGTTAACGACATATACATATAACATATATATACATCGTCATTACTTATTACTCATAGGTAATGATTAGGTAAATATTGGTTGATATTTTATGTTGAACTTATATTACCAATATATTGTGAGATGTATATATACATAATATTATATATATATTTATATACATTTCACACATACTGCATAACTACGTGTACAATTATCAATAATAGTATAGGTATATCCAGTCACATGGGCCATCTTGTGAGTTGTGACACTTATTATTTTCTCAAAAAACGATTGATGACATTTATTGTACTAAAATGCTTTAGTACGTAGTACAAGATAAGTAATCCATAGTAAGTATACAATATATAAATAGGAACATATATTATCGACGATGAGATGGATTTATAAAGTGTATTATTCTAAGTAGACGTACACTATATATACTATTAGTTTAGACACTTTAAATTTAAATTATAATTAAATCATTTAAAATATTTATAAAAAAAAATGTTTTCGTTCATTTTTATATAAAAGATAATTAGCAATTATAATATGTAATAATTTGTTAAGATTATTCAATGTTTTTCATAAAATTAAATATACCACACCTCTAAATAAATAATTTACAAAAAAATTAATATAGGTTGTATAGGACTTATCAGTAATACAGTACAACCTGGATGCATCACAAAACTCTAAATCTGACCTTGCATGAATGTACCTATAATTTGCTATAACATTTTAACAATAAATATTTAAAAATATAACTCTAAATATATATTTTAGTACAAGATGATAGGTGATAGGAACGACGACTCACCCACATCTTCGTCTTACACAATGGCAAAACAAGGCAAACAAGTTCATCAGTTCACTGTTCACGTTTAGTTTCATTAGTTTTAATATTAAAGTGAATTGACCAATTGAAAAGTCATAATATCAAACTTAAAGACAAGAGTATCTACTTATTATCTAGTGCCACTAGTAGGTTGTTATTGAGAATTTTTAAAGTGAGTATTATAGTCAAATAAGTTGTTACGTAAAATATTACAATATTTTTAAATACTCATAACTCGTTTAAAAATTTAAATACCAATGAAAATTTACGAAATTCTCCATTTAGCACATAGGTATGTATGAGTATTGTAATGGTTTTAGATCCAAGGTTACTTGAATTTTTATTGGTAAATAAAATAAATCAAATCATCATAAGAAAGTGAATAAAACCGTTTGAATGTCAGCATATTATAATCAGACTAGATAATACCATTAAATTTGATAATCTAAGACAATTCAAACGGTTGACTACATGAATTTAAAACATTTGTCTTAACGTTTTATTCATTGTTTAAGACCAATGAAACATATATTTAAGATAATGTAAAATCCAAGTAAATATTGTGTTTTTTTGGTTTATTATTAATAATAAAATAATAATAATAGATATCCTTCAGAAAAAGTTAAAGTATTTAATAACTATATCTATTACCGCCATTCATTAAAATTTTTTTTTTAAAAATCCAAATCAAAAAAGGAATCGTTGTATTCATAAGTAGTTATTGGATTTTAATTTATGTTTTTTTTATATGCCTATCCACCGTTATAGACTGTTCATCTATACACATTAAGAACCCAAATTTTCCAAAACAAAGTTTTTATGCCCTTATGAATAGTGAATTTATGTGACACTTACATTGACCATGTATATGGTCATACGGACATTAGAATTATAACAAATGAACCATGTATCATACGATCATGGCTCGTGGATCACGTAATATAAACCGTACATAAAGACATACAAATAATTTAAATATAGGATCATATAAGCGCGCTGGCTGCAAATTTTCACAGTTCACAACCTAATACCTGCCAGATTAACAGGCTGAATCTACTTAAAACTGCATATTATATAGATACCTGAATACCTCACTACCTCCACGGCACCACCGCCTCAAGGACGCATGAAACGCGGTCGTCCGACCTCCACACGATATATTGGTTAATTATTTCTATTATTATTACTTTTATTATAATCATAATTATTATCATGTTAAAATAGCCACAAACAATACAAGTTACGGTATAACTATATTACACTTTTAACTAAACGGCAACCGTTTAAATAAACAAAAAAATATTTGATTTTTGACAACAAAAACGAAATTCATGTGTAAACCATCTTATGGCAACCTAGGAGCAGTGGCGCATTTAAGGGGGACAATTGGGGTAAATGCTCCTGGCACCAAATTTTTGGGGGCGGGAAAATGTTTATAGTGTAGGTAGCATATTACTAGATTACCTATGAGAACGTTTTAAAACTAACTGAGACTGACAGAACGCATGCAGGTGTAGGGACCTCTTATTGCTTTAAGAATGTTATTATGCACTCCAGTATTAGTAACTTTTCAGCCCGAGACTCATAAAATCATACTTAAGGTCAAACATAGGCGAAGAAAGACTGTCTGCATTAGTAATTATGAACTAAAGGCTGGTGTCACTACAACAATAAACTATAATGATGTTATTCAGGAATTTTCTCAAGACCGTGCACGACGAAAAATATAAGACCATTTTTTGTTGCGGTTTAGGTATTATTAATTATTTTAAATATATTTATATTTATTGTCTACAAAATAGTATATTCAATATTAAATGTTTATTTCTTGGAGGGGGGACATTTTCTATGTACCTACTTACTCAATATTAACATAATATCTTTTTCGTCTGTACTTATTTATAGAAATTACAGTATAGGTGACTACTACAACAGTTGTACTTGAAGTGTATATTATTTAATCTAGATATTGAAACTTTTATTGATTTACAAGGTTTATAATTTCTGTAGACCTTAAATTCCATACCTATAGAGTAGGTATAGGTAGATACCATTGATTTTATAATATATATTTAATATTCTACAAACAATGGTAGATATAATATAACTACCTCGTACCTACCTATCTACTAACAAATAACATGTAACAACGTTTAAACGTGAAGTGTATATGACCAATAATACAAGGTAATTTGTTGTAAAGGTTGGTTGTATTATATATAGGTAGTTTAGTAGTTATACCTATAGCCATTTAGGTAACGCAGTTTTACCCGTTTCTGAAATCGTGATATTAATAAATAATAACTGCAGTTAACGGCATTACTTACGAGATTAAGACTTTTGGAGTTCTGCGGGATTAGTATAGGATATGGATAACTCTTCTAAATATATTCAACAGTACGAATAATTTCATAACTATAGTAATACTATGGCTACATTACATATTGTAGATACTAAACAGCTTGTCTGCCAACTTTCTTCGTTTGGAAAGTAACATTTTACTGCATAGGTATATCTACTTAATAAATATATACAAATATCATCGATGTATAATACTCGGTGCAATTATTATTATAGTCGTTATTGTTTTTTTTTTTTTTTTTATGTAAGATAACTTTTATTTTAGTTTATATCTAAATAATATATCATGATTTGCGGGAATATTAACAATAGTGTTCCCAAAGTTTTCTTGTTCTATATATTAACTAAATATAAAATATATGGACCCCCCCCCCGCTTTAAATCGTATTTGGAGATACCTACCACTAAAATGATTAGCTAATGGTAATCTGCCCAAACTGGTAAACTTACTGGTAAATTTAAATAATCTCCCTCGGGACAAAAACAGATTTAAATCGCGCTTCCATTGCGTGATATTCATAGATAATAAAAACATGATGGATGGAACATCATAGATAGAGGCCACTATAGATATTTTTGCGGTCGTGAAGTGATAACAAATTGAGGACGTTTGCTTACATTTTTGTATAATATATTAATGTTGATTATATATATATATATATATATTATATTGACAGTCAGTACTCAATATAGGCAGTGTTCTGTGCTAGGCATAGATAATCAAATAATTATCTAGATAAGATAATAGATATTCTTCAATATAATCATCTAGATGAGATAATAGATTAATTCAAATAAAATGATCTAGATAATAGATAATTTCAAGAAAAAATTATCTAGATAATACTTAGATAATTTATAAAAAAAAAATTTAGATGATAGCTGATTATAAAAAGAAATATAATAAATTTACATTGATATTTAATTTATTTTATGTAACATAAACAGTCAACAGATTGGTGCTATGGAACATTTAGTTACATAAAAAAAAATATTTAACCCCTTCAAGCCCACATTAAATTGAATACAGATTGTATTTTAGTAAAAAACTTTTTCCTTAGAATTCTGTCATTAGTAGGTAATGGTATACCATAATAATAGTTTTTGGTTTTTAATTTTTATCGGAAAGAATATTGTTGATAACAAATGTTTTTTTTCTCTATATTAACTTTTGTAGGGTCATATTATTGCAATGCAGTAAAATTGTGTGAATAAATATTGTATAAAAAAAAATAGACAATAGAGTAAATAGATAATTTTAAAA